CTTTTGTATCAGTGTCTCTCCAGCTCCAGTAACAGGGAGAGGTTTAAGGCTATTCATATACTCTCTTTCTCCTTCTGCCCCTCCTTCCATCTGCCTGTTTCTATCTCTGTCATCCGGGGAGGCTTTAAGGCCTGTGCTAATTGATATTCTCACACATTCTGTAGTTTGCCTTTCTTTGCTCTTCATCTCTTCTCCCCCACCCACCCCCCAGTTGTGCTCTTCTTTTTTGCTTTTTCTGTCAAACCAAGAAAGTTTGGAGTCCTTTCAGCCTCCATGCTATGTGATATTCACACATATTCTCTCTTGTTCACTCTCATTTTCCCTCTCTTCCTTTGCTTTAAAGCCGATTCATGAGTCTCTGCATCTGTCTGTCAGATAGACGAGTGTGATGCTTTCCCACAGACCTGCTTACTCTCCTTTTTTACTTCTATCTTCCTCTGTCACTCATTTTCCTCCATCTTTTTTAGTTTCTTTTCCTCTTCTGTCTTGGGTTGAGGCATTTCTGTTGTCTTGCTCATTTTTATTCTTACCTATCTTACTCTTATTTTTTCTCTTTCTCTCAGGTCAGCATGCTTCAGATGTGTGTGACTGACACTGAATATATTCGAAGTGGCAATGCAAATCAATTCTTCATCTACTTTCCTGTGTCAATATGGCAGTGTCATTCTTATTTCACTCTCCCTACATATGTTTATCTCCAGCTGCAGTCCATTTCAACTAGATTTAGATTCACATCGGTGGCTGTGGCTTCATTGCATGAAATCTTTAATTCTCTAGTAGATATCACATTGCATTAATGAAGCAAAAGGTCACGACCTGTGAGCTTTCCCTGTAAATCAAGAGAAAAGTTGTGAAAGTTTCTAGGTTTCTTGTGATAATTCTATTGTTGATCCCTAAAGGGAAAGCCTCCGACTTTGCAGGGAAGCTACAGAGCGGTGCCTATGGCAGGCAGGGAAACATTATCTTGCTCGAGGACACTTCAGCAGAGCTTATGCCTGTGTCACTACGGTGCCATGGTTTTGCAGTGAGAGAATTGTGGATGTGGAAGTGCTATGTTAGACTACATGTGACTCTAGTGTGGTTTTCTTTTCAAGACTGTTAATTTTCAGGTTATGGCAGAATCATTTTTCTGCAGTGCAACATCTGCCATTGAATAACTGCACATGATAGGTATCACTACAAGATGGTGGACGTGTGTTGCCAGGGCGACAGGTAAATCATTTGTTTTTCAAGGTCAAGCCAACTAAAGCAGAAAAATGTTGAACATGTCACTGCTCCCACACCCATGACACACGGAGTACATTCATGGGTTTAACAATGGTATTTTTTTCCTACTCATCCAGCTGGCAGATGTTCTTAGAGTAAAACAGGAAAAGACTACTTAATTATTATATGTTAGTTCATTTGAGCATTTTTAATAACACAGTAAAATTCCATGTGCCCCTGATGCACGTCTACTATGCAAACATGAGGCCTTTTTCTAGAAATGTTGTTTTGAATAAACACCACAAAAGCCAAATGGAAATTCATTAGGCCAGTTGCCTGTCCATGCATCTCTTAAACCAAAACATTAATCAGAACTGATGAGGGGTTTTCAGCTACCTATTTTCCCAACATAGTGGCGAGATGCTGCCAGCTCCTGTCATGCCTTTTGTATGTGTGTTTGCAGTAATTGCTGCTGCTTATAAAAGTGTGCTGTCTTTATCCACCTTACTCTGGAATTTCCAACAAATAGTACAAACACTATGAGATTGAATAATCATTTTCTACTCAAGGTAACCACTGCTTTCAGAGCTGTTTGCTTTTGCTCTGCATAATTTAAGGTACCTGCCAGCATGTCTCTGCTCCAAACAACTGTTTTAGTTGCTGCATACCTAACTAGCTAAAGAGGGATGATTGGTTTAAAGGGACAATTAGAAGAAAGTCAGCCAATAGGAGAGTGCTGAGGAAAAAGATGACATGCTTATCACTGGGTGAGAAATAAACTTTTTTGTTTTTCATGTCGGCTGCAGACTGGCCACTCATACAGCTGAAATAAAACATACAACCCAGGCAGGTCCTTGTTGGTGAGCCCTGTATTGTATTATCACTGATAAATGTGGAAAATTACCTAATTGCCTCTCTTTTTAGTTGGCCCTGTTTATTTGGGTTTTTGTTTCTTTTTTTCCCCTTAATTTTTGTACTCAAAATGACACGCTGTTTGGATAAGTCCAAGGAAGGTGGAAATTGAGAGAGAGTTTGTGATGGAGGAGGAAGAGACCAAATCTGATTGAGATGGATTGATAAAGCAAGGGAAGAAGGGAGTAATTTAAGGAATTAAGTGAGTAAACAGAGGAAAGCGGAGGACCAAATAAAAAGTATTGGAAGGATGAAAAAAAAGGATGGTAAGAGGAAGAAACACAAGGAAGAGATAAAGAAAGATGATGATAAAGTATGCTGAAGGGCCGTAAGAAAACAAACACTGCAAAGAAGATGAGAAAGAGGTTGGAAAGACATGGTTGTAGTTTTCAGTTGGATGGGCATGAATATTGCCTGTGGCTAATTGTTTCTTACTGGGATGAGGTAAACAGAAAACCCCATTTGTGTTTCAAGTGCACTCATTCCACATGAAGGGAAAAGGAGAAAAGATTTTTTTTTTTTTGTAAATGGATGTCTGGAAGACTATTGGGAGAGAGAGGAATGGTTGAAAAGTTGAGGAGGTAACTTGTGAAGGACTGAGGAGGGTGGTTGCTAACAGTATGTTGTTGCTATGTGGCTACTAGGGCATTGATGGATATTGTGTTGGTGTTCTGGTAGGTAAGTTGTTAGGGTGTGACTTGGTTGTTACCAGGTGGTTACAGTGGCAACCTCGTGTGATTGGAAGGGCACTGCTGAGTGGTTGCTAAAGTGTTTGATGTGGTTGCTAAGGTAATTGGTTGCTAGGGTGTTGCTTGGAGTTACTTGGGCTTGCTAGGTGGTTGCCATGGTGTTTTGATGGTTGCTGGGTCGGGACTGGAAGGCTTGTAGGGTGTTGAGGAAGGTTGCTCTGGCAGGTCATTTCCAGGTATTTGCTGATGTTACAAGAGTTAGTTTTGTGAATGTGGTTGCTATAGAGAACTGCATGGTTGCTAGGTGTATTGTATTTGTAGGGTGAGGTCATTGATGACAATCCTCTGTGCTACTACACACAACAAACATTTAAGTACAGTGTAATTAACAGTAGTGATTGTTGCCTAGCAATTGCAATAATTAAACAGCAAAAATATTCACTTCCAGCACTGGCTATGTTTTATTAAAATAAATGTAATTTGGCTGATATAGAAGTCTGTGAAAATCACACTAATTGAGCCTCTCCTACTGTGGTGCACAGCGAGTTGCCAAAATAACTCATTGTGGATTTTTACTTCCTTTAGGTATTTCATAATTACAGACAAGGCTAGAGTTAGGTTGAAGAAAATGACTACATTGTGTGTGTGTGTGTGTGTGTGTGTGTGTGTGTGTGTGTGTGTGTGTGTGTGTGTGTGTGTGTGTGTGTGTGTGTGTGTGTGTGTGTGTGTGTGTGTGTGTGTGTGTGTGTGTGAGAGAGAGAGAGAAAGAGAGAGAAAGAGAGAGAGAGAAGGACAATTAAAGTGGGATGTTTAATAATAGGTACAGTTGGACATGTACCGATTCTCACAGAAATGGACCTCATTCATAACCTGTGGTAACAATGAGAGACCGAGAACTCTACTTTTGTCTCTCTATCGATTTTGTCTTCCTCCATTCGTCTTTCTTACTCTCTCTCAATAAGACTCACACCCTTTCTTGCTTATTCGCTCTCTTTTACCCATTATATGTACATCTCTCATGACTTATGATCACAACAAGAGAGAGCCTTTACTTCTCTGTCTCGGAGTTTCTCTCTTTTTTCTTTTTCTTTTTTTCTTTTCGTGTGATTAGATTTCTTTCTGGCATATTGTGCCATGTTTTCTCACCACCCCTCCCCATACTCCTTTTAGGTGTCTTTCTCCTCCTTTTGTCTCTCTTTCAGTTTAGTTTCTGTTTTTATCTCATGCAATTCCCTTTTCTTTAAATTTATTTCTGTTGTTATTTTCTGTTGTTTGTACAAATTTATTATATTTATTATATTTTTCCCCTGTCTGTCTGACACTCTCCTTTGTCTGTCTGTGTTTTTATTCTCGTAGTCAATTTCCAATCTTCATCTTCACACTGTTTCTCTCTTGGTTTGCCTCAAACAGGTAACTGTTTTTATATATCCTCAGCATCATCCCACAATATCAATGACTTATAGTACACAGGTGGAATTTCCATAATGCGGTGCTTTCACCACATGCACACTGTAATTGGATTTCCTTTATGCTACGCCAGATTCAGCAATTTGATTTGATTGTATTGCTGCATAAAAGACAAAAGGTGAGTAAGACAGAGAGAGGAAGATAAAAGGTTTGTGTTAAGCCTTATTGGTGGTGAGAAAAGAGAAGGGACATAAACTTATTCATGCATGTGCACATTCAGTCACACATCTCTACAGCACACACACACACACACACACACACGCATGTACAGTACAACACAACATAGATTAAAGACGAAAGGTGACAGTGCCATTAAGTTCATTAAAATTTATGCCTTTCTGCAGAGGCATAACGTGTTATTTCCGATATAAATATTATATTTTAAGCAAACACTATATTGTTCATAATGTTCATATATGTATAGCATTTGGAACAATGTCCTTTTGTGATACCACAATTACATTGCAAGAAATGATAATCATTCCAACTTTTACTGTTTTTTTTTATACCTACAAAATGCAGCTGAAGGAAGATACATCATCCCATATTTGATAAAAAAAAATTGGCCACCACATATCACTGAACTTTTATCCTTTTTACTTTTTGGGAGTCATGGTCATTCCTGTGTTGATCAATAAAGAATGGAGCCATTTGAGAACAGATCGATACGTAATAGTATCACATTAAATGACTAAGTTGACCCTCTCTCCACTGTTTTTATTCCAGGAAGTGCCGGTACACCTGTGGTTTTCAATGAGAACGGAGACGCTCCAGGAAGATACGATATCTTCCAGTACCAGATCACCAACAGGTCTACTGCGGAGTACAGAGTCATTGGATCCTGGACCAATAAACTGCACCTCAAAGTGAGATTGTACACACTCATGCCAAGCTTTCTTGGCATGGCTATTATTGTTTCAAACACATGCTCTATAGCATCAAATATAATTACCAGTTGCATGCAAGAAAGTCAAACAAGAAAGAGTAAAAGCAAAGCAAGGTTGAGTAAAAGAGGTTTAACTTTAGCTACAGTCATCTGGTTGCATGTGTGACCAAGAAGGGTTAATGTCCCCTCGTTTTTTAAGTCCTATTTATTCCCTGCTCACACCACTCACAGGGAATGCAATAAAGAGGTTATAATCTAAGTACAAAACAAAACATATATTATTGCTTATGTGTTTCCAGCTCACTGAATATCGAACCTTCTTTTCCATCTCCACTTGTTCTAGTTACTGACTTCTGTGTAATAAAGAAAAAATGCCTTTACAATAATCCAAAATGCATTTTGATTTGAGTGGTTTATTGAAGCTTTGGAGGCATTATAGACCAAAATCGTTGGCAGAATGAAAGTTCAACATCACTGTGAGCAGCTGCCATGAATTCACAATCCCCTGTTAGTGGGCTGGATTTGTTTGAGTTATTGCTTTCATTCAGACACAGAAGTTAGCTGGAATTGTAAGTGTGAATGTTTTCTTCTTTTCAGAATGCTGAGTTTTGTGCAGGGACATACTCACAGTGACACACACCCACACAAGGTCACTCACACAGTATATACTGTATGAAACACTGGCACCAGAACTGGGGTATACACCTGAGCATTGCATACATTCACACAAAAATACATAAATTAACTGGAATCCTATTGTCTTAGTCTCTCACACGCGCACGTATGCACACACAAGATCCTTAAGCGTGCTGGAGTGCTTTGTGTTATAAATCCACCCAGGACTTCATTAAAAAGGCCAGATGACAGATGAGAAGACTAATAGACACGAAGTGCTTTCTGCCTGATGGACGGCCTGGCTGAGAGAGAGAGGGAGACTGCAGGAACACAAAGGACAACACATAGTTAAGACACACATGATTGGCCGCTTTGACAGTTGACAAATGAACAGATGTATTTGATTTGTTTAACAATTCAGTTGGGTTTGAAGGCACAGTGGCAGATGTAGTGATGGCAGCAGGTGAACACTTTCGTGATCAACAAACTGTTTGAATCAGGGTAAAGAGACCGCAGAACTCTGTTCAACGGACAAACCAGTGAGTTTCGGGGTAAATGTTTGGTCGGTATATAGTGCATGGACACATATACAAAGTTAAGTTGATGTTAATAATTAAAGCACAAACAGGAACTTGAATTTTGTGTTGATTCCATCTATGTGGACAAAAACGGCAGTGTTTCTACCTCCTTGTTTCATTGATTTCAAGGGGAATTCGACCCAGTGGCAGGCATTAAGAATAACTATATAGAAACAACCAGTCTTGGGGCTTCTTGATAGCTCACCTAGTAAAGCTTGCACCCCATGTCCCAAGGCTGAATCCTTGCTGCATTGACTAGGGGTCTGACTCCGACCTGTGGCCCGTTGCTGCTTGTCATCCCTTATTTTCTCCCTTTCCTGTAATTATTCAGCTATCACTATTGATTAAAGGCAACAAAAGCCCCTGATCCCATTTTCTAGTGTAGGTCACAGAAGCATTAATATTAAATTTAGACCGTTAAAGCAGATTCCTATTACAACTATTATTGTGTCGTTGAAGTAATTAATGGAAGAGAGGTTCATGACCGGGCCTGTGTTGTTTTCGGTTGTGCATAATTTATGATTATTGTTAGCAAATAAGGTGTGTATCTGTGTGTTTGTAAATGTTTTCCACATCGGTTAAGGCTATGAATAAGTAATGAGTAAAAGTACTGAATAAACAGGAAAAAACAGAACCCAACAAAAACAGTTTTAAAAGTTTTAGACAACGCTAATACCCTCCTCCGCACACATACGCATATAGAGTACTCTCTTTTTTATCATTACATTATTTCTACTGACAGATATATCTACAGCACAAAGTTGTGAAACAGCCAGACTGCCAGTATTGGTGTTTAAATGCTGAAAGTGTGTGTGTCTCCATATGTGTGTCAATGATCAAATCAAGTCCATTTTCTCTGTCCCTGATGGGTTTTTCCTCCTAACTAGTTTTTGTTGGACTGGTACATCATGTGCCTGTTTAAAACAGTAATGCTCCATTTTACTCGTCACCCTCGGCAACGAGTGAGCCTCAGGGACTTGGTGTAATGACAGAGTTACAAACAGGCACACACATAATGACACATTAAAACGCACACATCCAAACTCGCACATAGGAGACATACGGAAAGCTCAGGGATTTACTATAATGCCAGCATGACATAAGCACAAACAAACAAAAATGCACACATGTGAGAACATATGCGCACACACTCAAAGACGCACAGACGCAAACACACACACAAACACTCACGCACACACAGAAGGCAATACAGATGGCCTATTTGTGCCAGATCTGATTATGGTCTGATTGCTGGCTTCCAGACTAGCTGGTGTGAGTTTTGTGCCTGGCAGCACTCAGGAAAACAATCTGAAGATCTGCTTGTGCTAATTGCTCTCCGAGTTGCCCTGAAGACACACTTTCTGCAGGTACAAAGAAAAGTGAGTGTTAAAGGACTGTTAACACCGAGTAATGTCAGCTTCGGCAGATGGCTGCCAATCTCTGTGTCCCTTAATATCCCACAAGAAGGTGGGATGTTTTGTTTTGCCACCTGAACACACAAATAATTTAAGACAAAAACAAACAAAACTGACATTAGCCATATGGAACAGATCTCATACCTTTATCCAAACGCCTCACTCTCTCCTCTCCTCTCCTCTCCCAGGTCGAGGCCATGCGTTGGAAGACAGGTGACCCATCCCTCCCACCCTCTGTGTGCAGCATCCCGTGCCGTGCGGGCGAAAGGAAGAAAGTGGTCAAAGGTGTGCCGTGTTGCTGGCACTGTGAGCGCTGTGAGGGATACCACTATCAGGTACATCTCTCCAGAAACACAAGCCACCAGTACCTGCTGTTGGCTCAGTTTGAAGTACACCATTCACCTGTCGTGTTGGGCCTCCATTTCTTGTCACACATCTCTGTTCTCTCTCTCTTCCTGGCTGTGTAAATGTGTGGAAATATATATATAATACTAAAATTACCATGGTTTATAGGTTGCAGGCAGTAAAAATACACCTAACACATGACTCAATCTCTATCACAGAAAACATAGTTATTGATTTTTTGCATCATGCACTCGATTTTCTGTCCATCTCGTTTGTGTAAAGAAGAAGAAAAGGGATTTGTTAAAACCTGTAAAAGCCTCCACTTGATCTGTCAATAAAAATGTAGATTTTTACCAAATGTTTAACCTTGGTTCAACTTACTGCAACCGCTCAACAAATAAAGCCACAGTCAGTCCCATTTGTTTGACACCTTTTAATAATAAATCAACTATAAGATTTGTTTTCTATAACAGCACTTAGACATTCGAACATGTCAGTCTCTGCATGCACAGGCTTTCTGACAGCTGTCGCCTGCTTACTTTTACACTACACACGAGTTCTGTTCCCCTGTGTAGTGATCACGGTTTTTTGTTTCAACTCATTTCAGGCAATCAAAAAAATTGAACCACTTAGGTGGGCCATTTTAGATTCTTATATACAAGGAAGAACCCCACAGATGCCATTATAGTAAATGGAAGCACATAATTTGAGGTGAGGGGAAAAAGGGTCTGAACACACATTATAAAGATACATCTCCCATGTTAATTATATCACGGTTGGGGACAATTTGGCAGCCCATCATCATTCTTATTAAGTTAGAAAAATCCATGAGTGAGCAAGAATATGTGCAAAGCGATCCCTCGTTCAGGAAGCAATAAAGGAAAAAAGAAAATATCAGCCGTAACAGCAGCAGGCGATGCTTGTCAGTGCGAGCAATCAATACTCATTTTGCAGATACATGCGTTTGCTGTAAAATCCATAATCTGTTGACACATTTATTATAGATTTGGGATATTACTTGGAATGAAACTTCATATGTGACAAAAACAAGCGAGTGAACTAAAAAGCAAGTGTACAAAAATGTGTAAAATGTGTGCTTTTCTTCTCATTACCCACTCAGTTTATAGAAGCCGATAACACACAATGGCTCGGCCTCAACTGCTTGGTGAATGAATCAGCTGTTGAGATGTTTTTGGATGAAAGCATTGGGGATTTACAGTGTATTTTCTTAAATGTGGGAGCTTTAAACAGATTTACCGCACTTCCTGTAAGAGTTAGAACCTTATTCAACTGTGCTTATGCTTATTAATATTGCACTTGGTTCACCCAGATTTGCCTCTAGCTGGCCCTAGCTATATTTGACTTGGCTTCTTTTTTTGCAATATCCGGCTCTGTTCCCTCCATCTGTCTCAACATGTTCAGAATTCTGTCAAACAGCCAAAAGAATGCTGCGTTATCAAAAGCATAATTAATCATTTGCATGCCTATTGAAAAAGTCTCAGGCCCGAAGCAATAATTGAGAAAATTGACAGCTCCTCTTTGCTAAAGATCAGCTTAAACATCACTCCATGCACTTGCCCAGCACAGCTCAATATGTTTTGATGAATTGATATATCGTAGCGCCAGATAACATCGGACTGTCTCTCTCCAGGCATCTGAATTCACCTGTGAGCTGTGTCCGTACGAGATGCGACCTGATGCCAACCGCACCGGCTGCGTTCCCATCCCCATCATCAAGCTGGAGTGGCACTCCCCCTGGGCCGTCGTCCCCGTCTTTATCTCCATGCTGGGGATCATCGCCACCTCTTTCGTCATCGTCACTTTTGTCCGGTACAATGACACGCCCATCGTCCGAGCGTCGGGACGGGAGATGAGCTACGTGCTGCTGACGGGAATCTTCCTGTGCTACGCCATAACGTTCCTTATGATCGCCACGCCGGATGTGGGAGTGTGTTCGTTCAGAAGGATTTTCTTGGGCTTGGGGATGTGTTTCAGCTATGCCGCGCTACTCACCAAGACCAACAGGATACACCGCATCTTTGAACAAGGGAAGAAGTCTGTAACTGCACCCAGGTGAAGATTACGACCGTCTGTTATTATACACACTCACTGTTCACCCTCTGTGTCTTCAGCACACGTAGATTTCGATGAGTGTCGTGGCACTGAAGGTCGATGTTAGTGTGCATTCACAGGAAGACCTTACCTCCACTTCTTCCTTACTAAGCTGCTTGCAATCATTATTCATCATTTATTTCCCATCCATTATTTATGAGAGTCATGAACTCACACTCACCTATTGTACTGTTTGCACTCCATGTGAATGACTCTGGGAAAGAGCATCAACTAAGTGGCTAAAATGTTAATGCAGTATTTAATAGTGCTCAGGTTCCTGTCCCTGCTACCCAGATGGTCATCTGTTTCTCCTTCAGCACCACCCAGCTCTAAGAGTAACTCTTGTAGAGATGTTACTCATACATATAAAGATTTAGATTTCTAAATGTATTGCTTGTTTTCCAGGAAACACTGGGCATTATTTAGTTTTCAGTTGTTTTTGACTGATGCTCTTTTTTTGTTATACATGAGGGGGCAAACAAGCTAATTAAATACATTAAACAAAACCTGCAACACAATTTTGAGGTAAGGGCAGTTATCATACAATGACTTTCTGCAGAGAGGATTTTGAGGCTCTTTTTAGGTTCTACTGTGTGTTGTGCCTCCAGGTAGTCTGGCACTAAGCTCCCTTTGAGCCCGGGAGCTTGAAGGTGCAGGTTGTTTTCTCACTAAGGGTGTGAGTGACAATACAGCTTTTGTTTTGGGGTATTATTTGCCCTCATTTTTGTCTCCCTGGCACCCTGGATGATCATCACATTTCCTCTCTCCAGTGCTACGTGTTACTATAACTGCTCCTCACTGTCCCTCTTTTTCATTCTTGCCTCGAATCTCATCACTAGCTTTTCCCTGATCTCGCCCTCAACTCTTGGACTGTGTATGGCTGCTATATATGAATATATTACTACTGTGGAGTAGAAAACTTGAATCGACCTTTTATATACTATGAAAAACAGCCTTGTTTTCAGGTTGATGGCCAGGTATTACTCAGTTTTTCTAAATGTATTTGTAAAATACATTATTGGCCAGACATTTTAAGAAAATCTAATCTTGTTGAAATTACATAATGCATACAAAAGGCACTTTCTGCAAATACGAACTTAAAAAAAAAAAAAAATCAACTTCTACCCCTGGCAGTGTTGCTCCCTTACTGCCTCCCCATAATCAGTAATCCTCTTCCTCCCAGGTTCATCTCTCCGGCCTCCCAGCTTGTCATCACCTTCTCACTCATCTCCGTTCAGCTGCTTGGGGTCTTCGTCTGGTTCGCGGTGGACCCACCCCACACGGTCGTGGACTACGGCGAGCAGCGGACCCAGGATCCCATGGCGGCGCGCGGTGTCCTCAAGTGCGACATCTCGGACCTCTCCCTGATTTGCTCCCTGGGTTACTCCATCCTGCTGATGGTGACGTGCACAGTGTATGCCATCAAGACGCGAGGCGTGCCTGAGACCTTCAACGAGGCCAAGCCCATTGGATTTACCATGTACACCACCTGCATCATCTGGCTGGCGTTCATACCCATCTTCTTCGGCACGTCACAGTCCGCCGAGAGGGTAAGTGTGTCTATGTTTATGGAGTTTTTCTTCGTGTCAATCCTACTTTATACCTAACCTGCATACTTTAACTGCTGTTTTTACCATTTTCTTTGTGAACTACAGTCTACAGAGAGTGTGAGTATAATGCAGATGTCTGTACTTCATCCTCATCATCTTAAGGATTTCTGAGTCTGCAGAAAGGATGAGACCATGGTGTGTGTCTGCTAGTCTGTGCGTCTATCTGTTGGATTACCCTGTAAATGACCTGTTTTAAAGCTATTTTTTGAGACATCACAGTCTACAGGAAAGATTACTTCAGGGTGAATTTGGTCTATGTGTGTGTGTATTCGTGCTTGTGTCATACAAAGGTATATTTGTGTGAAATAACACAACAATTCACTGAAAAGTGGGTTGTGATGATGTGGTTTATGGGCCTTCTGGGAGCATGACTCAGCTCTCTTTAGACCATTTTGCAGCATTATTAAGTTTTGGAATCACTTTTTTGAATCATAGATTTGCATGTGTTGCTATGGCAAAAAGTCTGCTTTCTCTCTCCTCGTCTGACAACTTTTTGGAGATCAAAACTACATCTCTTGGCACCAAGAGATAGATGTGTTTCAATTGTAGCTATACTAATGGCTTAGTGTCCAAAATCTCCTGACAATCCCCCGTGAGCACAAGAGGATTTTCTTTCTGGCTGATTGACTGGATCCATGCCTTGGTCCAGGCTTTTAGAGGGTTGTACTGTAGAGCTTATTCCTCCTACCTTTAGTCAATTATTGATGGCTGGATGATGAGAGTAAGATGTAACTTTCACAGGGTGGAGGTGTGTGTTTGTCTGTCTGTCTGTCTGTCTGTCTGTCTGTCTGTCTGTCTGTCTGTCTGTCTGTCTGTGTGTGTGTGTGTGTGTGTGTGTGTGTGTGTGTGTGTGTGTGTGTGTGTGTGTGTGTGTGTGTGTGTGTGTGTGTGTGTGTGTGTGTGTGACGAATTTGTCGAGTTCAGGCTTTACCTAATGAATGATAGTTTCATTATGGATTCACAGTAAATTATCTGTATATGTATATCTAACCCTAACCCAAAAAAGTCACTTTTAATAGTTTTGTCCATTACAGCCAAACTAAGTGAGAGAGCCACACCAAACCACTCTATAATGTACAAGTCACCGCTGTGAAGCTTCCTGAGGTGGAAACTGGCAGATAGGTGCTTCTGGAAGAGAATGGCAGCTTGTGTGAAAAAGCTTCTTTTCTCAGCCTGAGAAGCTCATTCGGCACACTTAGGTGGAAAAACCCCAAAGCCCCACAGAATTGCATGTGAAACAGGAAAAAGCCAGAATTACATGTATGTTTATTGCGTTTAATATAGGTTATGATATATAAGTTGTGCGTTTTCTGGTTTAACAGCTCATTGCTTATGTTCACACTAAGGCCATAACCTGTGATGAGGGGTCACAGGTAGCTATCGCTTCATTTTAAAAGGGTTGTAAGCTAAAAGGTTGGGAGCCTCTTCCTTAGGGAAATGATAATCATTAATGTAAGTGATTGATTGTGTGACAGCCTAAAAGAGATGTCCTTTTACCTTATCAGTTTAGAGTCAGATGGTTTAAGAGGCTTGAACATACATACACTAAAACAGCTAATCTGATTCATAACAACACAGTATGCAATAAAGCACTGTGTTTACTTTTACTGCTAAAGCTGTGGTGGTTTAGTGATTCAATTTCTTGATAGTTTTAACAATAAAACACTTGCTCACATACACTCATTGAAATTCGAGGCATGGCTTCGATTGTAGATGTCACAGGTTGTACATCACAATGCTAAACCTTTGTATAGTGAAAATGTGCACATACATCAGATAGGTAAGTAGTAAATAGACACAAAGGCAATGTGGCGAACAGAAAGATATGACTGTATCATTCACAGGTTTAAAGTATAACATAATATGTGTAATACACACTTCCACTGTAGAGATAGAAATTCAAAGCTGTATAATCAGTGTACAGCACTAAAACAAAGTGTGTCCTTGAGAGTGCATGTAAATCCATCTGCACAATCTCAAATATCAATATTCTGTCCAACTGTGTCATCCTCTTCTACATAACTCTTATAGTTCGCCCTTATTTTGGAGTGTCAGTCAGGCAATTTTCATTTCTCCCTTTCCTTGCGTCTCAGCCCATTTTCCTTTCAAGGCGGGTGCCCGCCTCTGTCGCATGGCAAAAAGCTGACATCAAAGTGATCCCGTCTAATCACACATCAGGGAAATCATACTCTAGCTGGATGTTTCATAGTGTTTTCCCTTTGCTCACTCTCATTTTTTTTTGTTGAGAACCTTCAAGAAACCAGGGAGTTACTGATGCAGGAAGTTTTAAGTGACTCAGTGAGTTTTTTTTTTTTTTTCTTTCTTTCTTTTAAAGCAATACCCTTTTTTCATTCCACCACATTCACACAATTATAGCCTAATAAGGAGAACATTATTCACTTTCCCCCAGACAGAGGCTTTAATCCAGTCATGGGTTTCAAACAGGTGACCTTCTGACTGCCGGCAGCTTCTCTAACCTTTAAGCTACTGTGTGTGAGCGACCGAGAACCTGCGTGTGTATTGAACTGTGTTTGTGAGCTCATGTACTGTAGGTGCTGGTCGTGGCACCTTTAGGGCGCGTTCATGCGTATGTTTGGCTGCCGAAGTCATTTGTGTGTGTTTGAATGCGCTTTATATGGGTAAATCTGGTGTGTGTGTGTGTGTGTGTGTGTGTGTGTGTGTGTGTGTGTGTGTGTGTGTGCGTGTGCGTGTTATCCGACGTGCTGAGGCGTCCTGTCTTACCGGTTGGACTGAGCAGCGTCCATGCCATGTTTGCTCAGCTAATTAGAATGTCCACCAGCGACTTCCTGTGTATTCGCGTTTGAGTGTGTTTGTCTGGTGTGTTGTATTTAATTTGAATATCCACCAGTGCACATTTGTGTGTCTGTGTATGTTGTTTCTAATTGGAATATTCTCTGGAGTGTGTGGCAGCTGGCTGGCTAACAGAGAGAGCAGAAGAGAGGGAGGAGAGAGACGAGTGAAAGGAATAAACAGGTAATGATGTGACTCGCTGATGGGGCTTTAATGAGGAGAGCTCTACCAAGGGCATAGGTTTGGTTTCTGATGGGGGGGAAAAGCTACAATGAAGTTAGTTGGAGGTTAGATGACAACATGACTCACATTATTATAGACCTTGTCATCAAACAGCTATCATCCTCTGCTTAATCATTCTTCAGTAATATTGCTACTAAAACTGTGTTTGTTGGTCTACCGTTAACACGTCACTATGCTGCAACACAACTACTGATCATCACTCTTAGATACTTAAAATGAGCATACCTAGAACATCAGATCAGAGTTTTTCATCTTTTTTGCACAGTTTGTGACCTGTGCTTGCTCTGAAATGTGCTAATGGCTGCTGCTCATTTGTTTTTGCTATTGGGGCTTGTGATGGGGCTCCTCCACCACGTGTGCTTTAGTGCTTCTTTTCAGGGTCACTGTGGTAGATAGCATCTCCGTGGGAGGGTTTTAAACTTTGCCTTCTCTTGAATGAAACTAAAACCTTAACTCAAGGTCAACTTAGTTTTTTTTTCAAGATTTTTCCATCCTATCTCACAGTCTACGTAGTGAGAGCAGCAGCAGCAGCTCCGGTCCTCCATCAGTGAGATGTGTTCAGTCACAGTTGGGGTGTCACCGTACCAGAAATGTAGTAGTCAATATGAATACTAATGACATTCCACAATTTCAATACCCAATTTGATACCACAGTAAAAAACAGAAACATATATATATATATATATGCATTTATATGCACCTTTCACCCAAAGAAATGCATATATATATATATATATATATATATATATATATATATACATTTATATAAATATATTTAATTTTCATGATTATATAATCATTCTAATTATTAAGTCACAGCTCACCATGAACCTGCTCTCCTGCCAGACAGACTGACTAAAGTGGAACTGCCTTCCTTTTTTGTCAAAGTTTTAGTTTTTTTGAGACTTTGTATTGTTACCAGGGAAGAAACAGTCATTGCAGATGAATCCTCCTCCACCTCCTAGCTATCTGCGTGCTAGCATCTAGCTAGCTAGTGCTAAGTCACAAAAAAGGACATGTTTCTGAACCTGACGTGTTGAGACCTTATGAGCAGCTCTCACTGACACACAAACACAGACACACACACACACACACACACACACACACACACACACACACACACACACACACAAACTCAACTTACAATGTGTGTAATGGGAAACAGAAATATTGACTCTAATATAATGATTAGAAATGAATAAAAGTAAGGAAATGTATGGGTTTATTTATGTTTGCAGTATTATTGTCAATGGGTTTTTCAAGACTTCTGTTATTTGCTAATACTATTTGGAAGGCCTTGGCATGGATAAGTTTGGGAGCTGCTGGTTTAGAGTTTAGTTTATGATATACACAACTGCAGTTTCCCATTCTGGGTGTACCAGTAGAAATATAAAGGTGTTACATGGTTACACTGGGAATCTAGTAAGTTGATCTTCAGATGTTTTTTTCTAAAACAAATGTTTACAAGGTCGAGAACAGAACTTTGATTCTCAGCTTCTTTTTAATTATTGGCTAAATTCTCAGGAGCCTTCCTCAGGTCCTATTCTCTTCTGTCAGATATATCATTTTCCTGTGACCAGTGTGTATTTAGGATACTACTATAGTCAATCTTTCATCTAATTGCTTTTCCCTTGGTCAGTTTTTATAAGATGTAAAAGCCTGAATTGACTGGGAGGAGTGCTGGGTCTCTCTGTGGTAGAGTGAGATCTGCAGAGTAGTCAGAATCGAGCAGAATACAATAGTGAAGCCTATAGAGCTAGTTAGAAGGTACAGTGTGTGCTCATATAACAAGGGTTACAATGCATAACCTTCCACCCAAAGCATGCAACATTTCCTCGTAACTACTGGGTTGAATACACCTTAAATGTCTTTCTATACTCTCTGGG